TAGAGCACTTAAAATTGTTCCATGACTCACTGATGCTCTTTTCATTAAAAAAAAAATCTTTTCTGTGTTTAATTTTGATTAGTTTATATTGTTGTCTTATTCACTAATCTTTTCTTCTGAAATGTCTAATCTGCTATTATTCTCATCCAGTGTATCTTTCATCTCACACATGATAGCCCTTATCTCTAAAAGTTAGATTTGGGTCTTTTCCTCGCCCCATGTTTTTCATATCTCTTCTAACATTAAATATGCAACAGTTATAATAACTTTTAATGTTCTTGTCTGCTAATTCTAACATCTATGTCAGTTCTGGATTGGTTCGATTGTTTTTATATTTTTCTCATCACTGCGGGTTGTATTTTCCTGCTTCTTGCCATGCCTTGTAGTCTTTGATTGGATGGCAGACACTGTGAATTTCACCCCATTGGGTGCTATTTTTATATTCCTATAAATCTCCTTGAGCTTTGTCCTGGGTGCAGTTAAGTTACTCAGTAATAATTTGATACTTTTTGACCTTTCTTTGAAGATTTGTTAGGTGGAACCAGACTAGTGTTTACATTAGGGCTAATTATTCCGCACTACTGAAAGTAGGTCCTTCTGAGTATTCTACCCAACTGTGATATTCTTCTAGTGTGGTTTGTGGGAACAGGCACTATTCCCAGCACTGTGTAAGTTCCCTCTAATCCTTGTGGATGGTTTCCCCACCCTTGGGTAGTTTCTCACATGTGTGCATTGAGCAGTAGTTAGTTGAGTACCTGAGGAGGTCCCCTTCGAAGATCTAAGGTTTTCTCTCCATGCAGCACTCGCTTCTGTGCCCTCTAAGTTGTAGCTGCCTCAAACTCTCTGAACTCTCAGCTACATCTCTTCCACTCAGGGAATTCACTGAACTCAGTCTGGGTCTCCCCTCCCTGCACTGCTGTCTGAAAACCTTCTCAAAGCCATAAACTGGAGCATTCATAGGGCTCACCTCCTTTGCTCCCCTTCTCTCATGGTCACTGCCTTTCATTGCCTGGTGTCTAATGTCTTCAAAACCAGTTTTATAAATGTTGTCTTTTTTTTCTGTTTTGGTTGTTTTAGGTGGGAGGGTAAATCTAGTTCTTGTTACTCCATCACAGCTAAAACTCACTGCTTTTAAAAAGATTTAGCAAAAGTCTTTCATATATTTTTACACAGTCCATTCTGTTGTGGGATCCATACTTCCATCTGGTGGCATTTTCTTTCTGTCGAAATAAGGTCCTTTAACATTTCTCGTAGTATCATTCTGTTGGTGATGGACTCTTTCAGCCTTTTTATGCCTGAAAAAGTCTTTTTTTGTCTTTGTTTTTAAAAGATATTTTCATGTCCCTTCTCAGAAAATAATCCAAATCCATCTTTGATAATTCCAAAAGATCCCCGTATCTTTGACCAACATAAGAAAATAGAAAGCAGATGGCGAAATGAAAGCAGTGATGATGACAGTTCATGTATATAGTTTATTATGTCAGGCACCAATATCTTTCAGAGGCTCAGAAGGCTATGCAGCATATTCAAATTAGGTTAATTTAAGAAGAGTTTAATAAAGGGATTTTATACAAAGTTGTGGGCAAGGTGTAGGAAAAATGCAATATCCTGGGGCTAGTAATAGGGCTATTACCATCCTAGGCTAAAAGAATTACTGGAATTCAGAGCGGAGCTGTGACTTCCTGTTAGGAGTTGCAGCCAGCCCAAGGCAGAGAAATGAGGGAATAAATATCCCAACTCACTCTTTTCCCTCTCACTGATCTCATGTGAGAATTCTCCTTAAGCCAAACAAAACCAGAAGCTGATATAAGAGAGCCCACTGATGAAGTACATACAGATTACACAGGCACATACAAGGATGGAGCAGAACAGCGAGTGAACTTGGAGAGGTAAACAAAGATATTTGGCACAGTACCTTTAGATCTATTAGACATATTATCTCCTTTAATCTTCCCCCAAATCTCACAAATTACTATTATTATCCCCAAATAAACCAACACTGCAAGATGAAAAATTCAATGAAACTATGTAATCTTGAGTTTAGATAAAATATTGCCTTCACTAAATAAAAAGTGATGCTCTCTCTAAAAATAGGAATGATGATGGAAAAGGGGAAAAACTTTTAGCAATAAAAATTGATAGCCAGTCCTCTTCACAAATTAATAGACCTGTTAGAGAACAAAGCTGAGGAAATCTCTCCGAGAATATATGGAAATAAAAAACAGAAGTGAAGAGATAAGGTGATCTGAAAATCAATCCAGGAGGTAAGAGAATCCAAATCCAGGATGTTCAACATCTCTTTCTGGAGTTCCTGAAAACAAAAAACAAAAAACAAAAAAACCCCAGAAAATTGTGGGAAGAAAAATACCAAAGAAAAAAAATACAAGAAAATATTCCAGGTTTCTATTGGTTTGGCGCGCAGAGGCTCGCGATGTCAGAGAAAAAGCAGCCGGTAGATTTGGGTCTCCTGGAGGAGAATGGTAAGTTCGAGGAACTCCCTGAAGGAGACTAGACTGGTTTAGATAAAGATGAAGATGCATATGTCTGGGAGGAAAACTGGGATGATGACAATGTAGAGGATGATTTCTCCCATCAGTTAGGAGCTGAACTAGAGAAACATGATAAGATGGAGACCTCATGGCATCCAGAAGTGTTGAAGCAACTTAAACTAGAACTGTTTACAAAATTATAGAACCCAGGATAGGACACTTAAAAAAATATGTTTATTTCATTACCCGTTTAGTTTTATTTTTGCTTTTGTAACACAAAAAATAAATGTTTTGGTCTGGGAAAAAAAAAAAAAAGAAAAAATATTCCAAATCTCTGAACTGAGAAGCTGTCTCTATCTCCAAGTATGCACAAAAAAGCCAGCCATACTTTTGAACAAAAAGACCCAGGCCAAGCCATACTTTTGAGAAATTTCATAACACCACGTGCAAATTTAAGTGATTATTAAATAACAATGGAAACAGCCTGAGGGTTTACAGTATCCCCATTTTATAGACATTGAATGAACAGATATACTGAATAGAAAACCTAGGATATTTTTCAAACCTGCACGGATAACATAGTTTATCAATATTTACGTGTGTTTGTGTGTAAATAGGCAGAAGTGCATGTCCAGTTTAGAATTCATGTCCAGTTTCCTAAACTATATGATCAGCTCTCAAAGGTAAAGAGCATGGTTTCTAATTCCTTCCTATTCTACTAGGTCAAATTTTTTGGAAACTGTTTCCAACTTTATTTTTGTTTCCATGCAAGAAGAAATAAATTCTGCCTTGGTAACTGTGATCAATTTGTCTTCAGTTTTGTTTTTGTTTTAATTGAAATATAGTTGTCATATAGGATAAGTGTTGAATGACTATGTTGTACACCTGAAACTAATTTTGCATTGTAAGTCCTCCAGGTCAGTTAATGAACTAGGTAGATCTATGTAGCTAATATGCCAACCAAGCCTGGAGGAAGATGTGATGTCAGGAGCAACGATTGTTTTGTGAACTTGTTTGCTTAAGTACCCTCTAGGTGCATAAAATAAGGTTGTCTTTTCTTATTATGGGTTCAAGTGAGTGAGATTTTAAATCTTCATCATCTTCAGATTCCTTCTGGTAGGTTTGGGCTTGAGTTACCCTCTTCAAATTCCCTTTCAACAGTGTAATTTTTTAATTCTGTCAACAAAAAAGAGAGAACAAATTAAATGAATCAACTGCATCAGTGAGGGAGTTTGCAGTTGCTTTTATACAATGCTGAGGGGAACCAAGTGAGGGAAACTGCCCAAGTGAAATTGTGTGGTCAGACGTTCTCTTTATCAAATCTTTCGAAGGGTCCTCTGGCTCTTGGAGAATTAGTAGAATGTGAACATGCACAGAATATAAATAGAAAATTGAATAGCTTATTCTCCAAGATAGTGGGTTGCTGTTTCCTGTAAGCACAGAGAGACTTTGTTAAAACAGGACTGTCGTTATAGCTGCTGCAAACTGTGCTAGGAATGGAAACAAAAGCAGTTGGGTGGTGATGACCACAACCCAGAAGCTGAAACCACATGAAATTGCTAGTTGTAGCTCTTTTTGCTTATGACTTTTCAATTAGACTGCAAGGATTATATTTAGTTGTGTGTCAAATAACATCTTGAAAGTAGACTGAAAACCATTTAGCCCTCAATCATTTGTACTAGCCCACAAAATGTCAGTACAAATGTCTTCTAATAGACTAGTAGAGATATACTTTCTAGTATCAAAGACAATAAAATCATGGGAGTAAAAAATGGAAGGAATATCCAAAGTGGCGCTGAAGAAAAACAAGGAGGATGAAAAGGAAGGAAGAAGACAAGAACAAGGAGGTATGAGTTCTCATTTGGGAAAAAATTTGGACTCAACATTTATTTATGTGAATATCTTGACTAATCTTGGAGTTAACAGTATGTTAAAAAAAATAGTAAGAGCTTATTATAAGGATAAAACTACCTCCCAGCCTTATTGGGCCAACATACTACTGAGAATTGGCCACCAATAGCTTAAAACTGTTTAGCCTTTTCATCTTAACACTACTCTTTGGAAGAATAAAACTAACCATTTTATTTAAAGACAAAGTGGACTAAAATTCCGGCAAAAATTTCAAAGTAAAATTTGCCTTCTATTATTTGGTCTCAACTTCATAGAAGTCACCTATGTTAGCAGTGAGAGCCAATGCTTTCCTATTACATTTATGACTTATCACTTGATATATAGTATAGATTCAAGATATAGTTAAAAATGAACAAATGATTAAGTGAATGAGTAGAAAATGACCTTAGGAATATGAGTTCTGCAAATGTTTTGCTAGATCAAATCAAAGCATTCATTTTAACCTGTGCCCTATCTTAAAGTATGCATTTGAGCACAACAAGCACAACAAAAATTTTGAGCACAACAAGCACAACAAAAATTTTGGAAAGAACCTTCCAGGAAGATAGCTAAAATTTGACATTTGTAGGGCATATATATACTTATTATACACAAAGAAGACAACATTTTAATATCATTTATTTGAAATGCCTCCAGAAAAGTTTAAGGCCATTATACAAAAACATTCATTTCATCAAAACATTCGTTGACTTTCTTCCAATAGGCTAGCACTTGACAGACCTCTTTTTTCAACACACTGGTCAAAGTGGCCAATGGCTCCTGCAAATAACAATTCATTCTTTTCCCCATCATCTAACTTTTCTCTACTTCTGTCCACAGCAGGTTCATTCATTTGCTAAATCAATAACAACTTGAAAAATGAAGCAGTTTTAAATAAACTTGTAATAGAAACAAAGTTCACCATGTTTAAAATCTATAAATACAGAAATATGTTTACGGGATAAAATTGACCACAACTTTTTTGTTTTTGAAAAATAATATACCTTGTTTTTATATTGATAAATCTTGTCACACAGCTTCTCTGAATGCACATGATAGATGTATATAATAAAATGACATAGTATTTACTGCTTTCCTTTCTGTAAACTTGAAAGACACGGAAGATAAAACTTTTTTGGCAATAATTTAGAATCATTACTACTAGTGCCGGTGTGGGTATAATTTTGCACAGGTCATCCTTAATATTTACACTCACAGAGAGCTTTTCTGTGTATTCAGTTAACTTTTTTAAAGATCTGCTACCTACCCTGCATTATAAATCAAGGCTGGACAAAGAGGTTACTAGTTTGGCTAACTATTCCTAATTAACTGTAGAGTTAATTAAGTTGGCCTCTAGAGAATGTAATTATAATTCTAATTGCAGCACAGAGCCAGAGACAGCAAACTCATGACCCAAAAATAGAGCAGGAGAACCCGAGGCTCCAGCCTTTTCCAGAAGGGCACTAGACCTTCCTTTTCTCTTTTAATGTTTCTCACATAAGGTCATGATGAAGCACTTCTTCCAAATTCTTCTCACACGTTTCTGTACACAGAGCCACTACTCGGTTTCAGTCTCTTTTTTCTCATCTCTTCATTTGTGTTCTAAAATATGAGTAGGCCTCGGTAGATGAAACAAAATGAAGATGGGTTTTCTTGTTTATCCTGCCAGAATTTTCCAGGCCCTTTGAGTTCTAGTCTGATGCTTAGGCTAGAAATGGTTCTCTAAGGCAAGCCAACAACTATGACAGAGACCCCCCTGGTACAATGCACATTTCAGGTCAAGATTCAAAGCTGACAGCTGCTTTTGTGCTGGTCCTTTTAAGGCCAGACTCTATTTCATGGTCTAATAGATTATTGCATCAAATTTACACTGGATGACATTGCAAGGTCAAGAGAGTGCTTCTCCCTTTGCAAAATTAAGCCTCCAGAATCCCCAGGGATGTTTACATGCTTTCTGGTTGGATAACATCCAACCAAATTCACTGAAAGGATTGATCTTTTCTGGTTTTCTTTCAAATGCCATCACAATACACGAGTGTCTTCCTCATGCCCTGTTTGCAAGGTCTTCTAAATTCTGTGCCTTCAGCTACCATGTCATAGAGCTAGAAAAGCACTAGAGAAACATGGAAGGACTCTCTAAGCAATCTACATGAAGCAGTAGTTTAGAGATTTTCTATTTTTTTTTAAATCCAGCAGGACATTTGAAAATAACTTGTTCAAGTACCTACCTCTCCATCCATCCAGACACTTGTGAAATATAATATAGGATAACAGTTGCCACAGATTCCAGCTTACATAGACAGATTGGCAGTTACAGTACTAGGGACAAAGGTACAGATACAGAGACGGGGTCAACATGGTCACGAAAGTATTAAAAAGTGCTTCTCCAAACCGTTCCGTGTGTGGAATGCAAATACTGTACAGGTAAGACACAGGGCTACTTTCAGGAAGTACGTGCTTCTGTCAGACATTGCTTTCAACGTGCCTGCTGTTCCCACAGGAAGAGTCTGTCTGTTCCATGTGCTCGCAGTCAAGGCTGACCTCACTTGTGTCCATACTACAGTCTGATTCACTGTCCGACTGGTCCATCTGTTCAAATTTTGTTTCTCCCTGTGGTTCCCTGCTCCCTGTGGCAGGATTTAGGAACGGTCCCTCGGAGTCAAGCACCCCAGCTTGTCCGGCAGCACACAGAACTGTTTCTTTGGCTTGACGAATACAGTTGAGCCACTGCTGTTTGTTGAAGGTGTCGTTGGCTTGTAGTGAGTGTGTCTGACTTTGGGATCCATTTTTAAAAGTAACTCTGAAGAAGTTTTTAACTAGAAATGAAAAACATGTGAAAACAAGGTCAATGGACAGATAGTTCTCCAGGCCAAAGATAACATATATGTAGTGACACTAATACCTAGTACCCATGGCGGACATCATTAATTGATCACGAAGTATGTCCCACTAATCCGGGACACGGCTCAGCAATACCCTGGTTGCCACCATCAATCAAACAGAGCTGACATAGGTCTAGCTCTCAGTTGCCTGCAGCAGCTAGCAAATGTATATCAGCTCAAAACAACTAAGTCTTATGTTTCAGGGGACCTCAGAAGTACCGGTTACCAAACCTGGATACGTATCAAAATACGCCAGAGAGCTTGCTAAAAATACAGATGCCTGGGCCCTATCCTTAGAGATTCAGATTCAATAGGTCTAAGATGTGCCCAATAATCTGTAATTTCAACAATTTCCTCAAGCTAGAGCTTTTCTCAAGTTTAAGAAACTCTTTGTAACATCAAACATGCCCTTGACCCATCACGTGAGAGTCATTTAGTATCCAATGACTGAGATGATATATAATGACACAGAGCTGTTATAAATTTAATTTCATTTAAAAATGAAAATACATATTAATTACCTCAACAAGAGCTACAGCACTTAAAAAAAATGGTAATGCACAATATGGAAGACATTTTGTTTAGTTTAATAACAACAACAGCATCAACTGGCATTTAATGGGCCCCACATGCCATGTGCAATGCTTGGTTCACAGAAGCATCTGCCTTCAGTCAGTTCCCTTGCATGATCTGTGTAGCCAACAGACCTAGGAACCACCACTTTGGATAAGTTCAGGCTCCAATCTTTGCTCTTGGGCAAGTGCCTTAACAACTCTGTCTCGGTTTCCTTATTTGTAAAATGAGGGAAACAAAGAGAACCTACCTTATAAGGTTTTATGAGGGATAAATGTGATAATACATGTAAGTCCTTATACAATGCCTGGCACATAGTCAATGTTGTAGAAGTATAAGGTACTATTACTACTACCACCATCACTAGAGTGGAGAGACTGATGAGTAAGCAAGAGGTCTTACATATTAATTACTTTGGCAATATGATGCCAATATTAACCCAAAAGGCTCAAACGTCCCTCTCTCAAAGACTTCCCCAACCATTTCATCTAAAACAGATCTACTGTTATCCCCGTCTAGCCCCATACTTGGTTTTAGTTTTCTTAACAGCACCCAAAATATTTATTTGTTTCTCATCTATCTCCTCCATCACAATGTAAGCTTCATAGAAGCAAGAAATTTGACTGTTTGGTTCACCAATGTGTACTTGTGCCTCGAACAGTGCTTGACACATAGAAGATACTCAATAGATAATGCCATCTCAGCTTGTCTTTGTTAAGTCCTTTGTTTATTCAGTCTCAAGTTAGAGAAGTCCATTTGAGTAATTACAGACAAACCCTCAACCCAGTTGACCATACTTATGTCTCTTTAGAGATAAGCCTGCCAGCTCAACTACAAAAGCCACTGTTATGCAACTGGTGTCTACACAGGGACTATGTGGTATTAAGCATGCTTTTACCCAACAGAAAGAGACAGAGAAAGGGAGCTAAAGGAGCACCAGTTATGTGCAGACAGGTTCACTTGCAGTATCTTACTTAAGCCTTATAAAATCTTCTGAAGTAGGTATGCATGCATCCCCACTTTGCAGATGAAAAACTTAGGCTTGTAGAGATTGAACAAAGTTACACAATCAGTAAGTGATGCAGTCTGAATGTGCTGGAATGCAGTTTGACTGCAAAGTCATGGCTCCTGTCACCAGGCAGCTACTCCCTTCTGAACCATCACTGCCAAAAATGATCAACAGGTCAAAACAAACTGTCATCCATACTTCTCTCATTGTTGCTGAATGCCCCTCGCAGAGAGCCACCCAATCTCACTTCTCCATCCTGCAGGTCTTCCAAGAGGAGGTCCTTCACAGGGATTGGCTGCCGGTACAACTGGTAGCAGAGTTGCTCGTTGTGGGTGATGGCTCGAGTGATCACAAGCACTTCTTGGAACAGGAAAACATGCAGTTTCTAGAAGAGAAGAATCCACAGGATATTCCTAAGTAACAACCTAATGAGTAATTGATTAGTGGACTCCTGAGGTAAGAGGTCTGCAGGTACCAAGTTCACACTAGATTATAAAACTTCTAGGCTCAAATCTACCTCTAGGAGAACAGAAGTTGGGCAGGTTGGAGGTATTTCCAGATGTATCTATTGCCTTTCTTATAGAAGCTCCTCCCTAGGGACCCCCGAAAAAGGTCTTTCTGCCTATGGACAACTGCAGCCAGGACTGCCAACTCCAGGGGCACTACTCACATTGCAATTCACAACCTGTGCAGAGACACACACCTCCAGCTCCCATAGAAAAAATGAGAAAGGGGAATAGAATGAAGTGGGTAATGAGGGGAAAAAAAGGTTAGTTCCTCCCTGGCTTTGGTTTATATGACCTGACATAATTCTAAGAGATCAAAATGGTCTGCAAAGGATGAAACTAGTATATCAAAGCCTAATATTAATCTTTGCTTCCCAATCTCCCTAAAACACTTGTTCCTTTAACCACAGAGATGATTATCAGCTTCATTCAGGCATTCCAACTCATTCCTGAGGAAACCAGAGTATGCTGCGGTAGCCACAAAGAGGATCAAAGAAGTTGTCCTCCTCAGTTAAGTTCATCAGAACCTCAATTCTCTGAAGAGGTAGTGCTCAAAAGGCTGACGACTGATGTGTGTGTTGTGGGCAAAAAGAAAATCTTAAAAATAAAGGCTCATGTCAAACCACATCGTGAAAGCAATTATACTGAGTGGAGTGGGGTAAATTGGCTCCATTCAATTCCAAGTGCCAGACCTTTCTCACTGCATGGAAATGCTTAGGAACTGAACTGAAAAGATTCACAACTTTGCAGCTAGATTCTGGTTTTCCAGAGGAGATATTTGAGATTGTTGAGTCAGGGGTCTCGAAGAGGAAACCAGAAAGGTAGGAGGAGAAATTCACACTGGAATATCTTTTTCCTTTTTCTTTTTTTGGTTATATAATAGTATGTATTTTTCTCTTCTTGAGTCAGGTTTTCAAATAAATTTTCAAATTTATTGACATAAACGTGTTCCTAGTAATATCTTATTATCTTTTTTTTTATTATAGTTGACATACAATATTATATTAGTTTCAGATATACAATATAGTGATTTGACATTTATATACCTTACAATGTGATCAGTAGCTGGTCGCCAAAGTTTTTTTACAATATTTTTGACTATATTCCCTGTGTTGTACATTACATCCCTGTGACTTAATTATTTTGTAACTGGAAGTCTGTATCTCTTATTCTCCTTTACCTTTTTCAGCCACCGAGAATCTTGATTTGGGGCAGAGGAAGCACACATTCAGCATTATAAAACAATTTTGTATTTGAGAGAAATGAGACTTGTGAGTCACCCACTCCCACCCTGCCACAGACAGAGAGACAGACAGACAGACAGACAGACACAGACACACACATACACACACCCAAAATTACAGAAACTAAAGTTCAACCAAACGTTGCCTGGTGGAAACAAAAATGATTCTGCATGGGGGTGGGGGGGAGTTGAAGAGTGAGATTTTCTGTTTATCGAAATGATTAAAAATGTATTTTAAATAACTGAAGAACACATTAAAGCACAAAATAACCAAGTTAAGGGCTTTTTTAGGAGGGATATGGTAGAAAGAATGTCTTAAGACTTTTCTCATGGGGGCAGGAGAGGGAAGGAGTTGGTTATTGTTTCACATATTAAAGGTTACCAGAGATACTTACACTATTTCTATTTCAATCAATCCTCTAGCCAAGATAGGCAGACTGAACTCAAATAATCTAGGAAACCTTTAAAACATATCCCTGACTTATGAATGTTCACTGAGCATTCCTCTTCTTAGTTTTCACTTCTTTTTGTCCTCAAACTATTGAGCTCTTCCTGACACAGAACTATTCATAATGACTTCTACAATTCTACTGGGGAAAAAAATAACTAAAACAAACTTCCCACCCTAACTACTATTTTTGTTCTCAAAAATCTGCCTGCTTGCAGTATGAACTAGAGTTCATCTTTAATGCCCTAGACACATCCAATCAGAGAGTCTCAGTCCTTGGCTAATGGACAGACAAAGAATAGGCCCCCATCACATGGAGTGATGCATCTTCCCAATTATTTCCCACAGGGCTTCTGAGAAAGAGTAGCCAAGGAGCCAGAGCATCTGACATTAGAAGTCCACCAGTGCTTTCCAAAAATCAGCAAGAAGCAGCTTTCCAAAAACCAGCAAAAGGCAGAATGCAGCTTTCTAGCAATCAGTAACTCCTTAGTCAAACAGAAACACATTTTAAGCAGTGGTTTGGGACAAGTCTCATTATTTCTGTTGCACCATCAGCTGGATGGATCGGCAGCACTGATAATGGTGCTATGGAGATACACTCAAAGATTTCAAGTAACATTTCCAAGCCCGCTCATAACTGCCACTTCATAGTCCAGGTCAAAAGGATGTCCCTTGACTCATCACAGTTTTATTAAGAACTCTTCAATCTAGTTCTGGCTTTCATTCCAAGGGTTGGCTAGATATTGAAGACAAAATACAATCGAAGTGGACAGACTCTTTCTTACCACTGAATTTAAATATATAATATATAAAATCAAATCTATGTTTTATATAAAATACAGTTTATATATAACATAAACATTATAATATATAACATACATATTAGCATTAATTTCTACTGGCTACGCATAAAAATAGCCTGGTGAGTTGAATGAATTTTGAACTTTCATATAATTCAAATCCATCCTTCTTTTATACAAGCATTCACTCACTCATTTGCTTCACGTGAGTGCCTTAGTATGTGCCAGGTCCCCATAATAGGTACAAGGCATAGCCCCCACTCTAAAAGAGCATGGTATAGTGGAAGATACTGACAGTGAGATGGAGAATTACAACTCACTTTAGTAAACATTCCAGAAGATATTTGTCTATTGCTATGAGAGGAGAGGAAGAATAATTTCACTATCTACAAAGGAATAAAAGCCAGGACATGGGGTATCTATAGGTCAGAGGTAGATATACAGCCAATGGAGGATAGGTTATTAATTTTAAAAAAACAAAAACAAAAACACTATTCTTCAAATGTCAGTCTGTAGATGGGTACCAATCCATAAGAAAGAAAAGAGTTTCTCATAAAGCTAAATGCATTCAATTTAAGAGCTGTTAATAGGATTTTAACATCCTATTAAAATCACCAATTATTTTTTGATATCAAAGTGGTAGAAGATAACTGTTCTGTATTTATTTTTGAAAGTCATGATCAAACAAAATAAAAAGTTGGTAACTATGCTCGTTTCCAAAATTCTTTCTATGTACTAGTCATGAAATTAAAAAAATATATATGTACTTTATATAACATATATATACTTTATATAACATATAAAGTACATATATACTTAAATATATACACAAATTATAAACATATATATTTAGAACACATATTTATATGTAAATTATAATCATAGAATGCATAAATACATGTAAAATATATATAACTATATGTATTCACATATATGGGATTCTACGATATAAAAGACATTGGAAAAAGCCATTTTTGTATAAAGAATGTAACTCTCGATAGGGAAAGTATAGTAACAGGAGGCTGGGCATCAAGTGGATTAAGCATTGGGGGAGACTCAGGATGAGACCAGTAAAGGGGAGTAGCCACTTACCACACCCCGGTTGTTTTTGAGTTCGCCATGACAACACAGCACTCTCGAGCTGTCAATCAGGGAGTCTTTCTGGCCTTCTTCCAAGTAAAGAAGCCGCTCTTTATAATAGCGGCATTCAGATTCCCCAGTCTTGGTGTTGATTTCTGCCACAATTCCCTGAATGATGTTTATCTATGGAAACAAAGAAGAAAGTACAAAAAGTAGGCAAACCATCCACCCAGCAGGTCCCAAGGGCTCAGACTAGAAGGTCACCAAGATAGACCTGGCTCTAATTCTGAGTTTTTGTTATCTAAGTTGTTGCTCTGGGAAGAGGGAAAAATAAATCCTTTTTATATATTGTCTCTATGCATCTATATACATACACATGTAGATATACACATACATACATATATTTATTTGTACACATATGCAGATATTTGTATTATACAAAAAACCAATGTTGATGCATACTTTTTTTTACCTGAGAGGATGAGATACAAGGTACAGCTTTCAATGCGCAGGACTCATAATACTTCACGTTGCACATTTCTTAAAACTATACACATTCATGCCCATGCTATACTATAGCATACATGAACAAGTAAGTTAAGGGAAGAGGGGTTTCAAAGCAATGGTAGATGCAATGTGGTTAATATAAAAGGAAGTAAAACGAAAAAGAGTACAGCACTGAAACATGATCAGTGGGCATTTACTCTGATGTTTTGTTATTCTATCACATGGATAACACATCTAAAAGTTAGAAAATATAAGAAAACAAAAGAACAAGAAATTAGTTGAATGAAAACTCAAAGATGCCAAACAAAAGCAAAGTAATGACTTCCTCAGCATGGTCCTCTGCCCCTAATAGTGAAAAGACCAAAATCCCATCTTCCTTCTGGTAGTAGTAACTGAAAAGAACTTAACAGATGAGAAATGCTAATAAGGCCTCTCCTTTCTCACATTTACTTAATGATAAAACAAACCAATCTCTGAAAAGCAAAGTTTTAGAAGAGGTCTTGACTCAGTAAAAGCTACCAGATCTAGTAATATGTTAAAATCTTACTGAATTCTAAGATTAAGTGATTATTTTTCACATGCTAGTAAAGTGATACCTTTTGCTCAAAGGAACTGGATGAAAACTTCTACCGTTATAACTTTGGCACTTCCATGCTAGTTCGACAGATCTTATAGTTCTGAGCTTAAGTCTGGTGACCGTATTCTATGGACAGATGTATAATCTGTATATTTTTGTAGCTATTAAGAGTTTCTAACTCTTTCTAATTCTTTTCTCTATTTCTAAAATATTGGTGGTAGCACTAATTTAATAATTAAAAACACATTATTTAAAAAAAATAGAGGTCTTTTTGTCATAAAAAAAACTTTTTGGCTTTTAATATTAACCTCATATTAAATATGTCCTGTGAAATTAATCTGAATTTGTTAACACAAAACAAGTAATAAATAGAACACTTTTGTATACAAACTTTGTCTTTCTTTTTTCCCCCCTCTTGATTTTCAAAAATGACTGATTATTTATTGTTACTTTCAAAAACAACCAAAAAAGAAAAATATACTAAAGTTATGACTCATCCTTACAATTAATTCCACTAATGTTTATTGAGCATCTATTTAGTGTTAAACTAGGTGGTGGCATTCAGAGAAATGAGACAGGTTCCTTAAAAAGCTTAAAGTATATGGAAGGTAACTGAGCATTTGTTTCATGTCAACCTTATCCTTTAACCTTATTACATTTTTAATATGTTGTAGAATCCATATTTTCCCTCTGCTTTTAAAGATCTTAGCATTAATTCCTGTGACTCATCTTATAAGTTAATTATTATTGGGTATACCTGGGCAGCTGGAATTGACCAGCGCTTGAGCCAATTCTCTGAGTTTCCTGCAAGTATCCAGGAAACCAGAAAGAAGATGTACTATGGCATAAAGATGTGCTCATATCCTAATTTAACTTAGGAACTGAAGAGTTAGCATATCACATGAAGATTAGTAAACTCAAATGCCACAGTGGTTTCTTAGGCAGCTCTGACTACTTTCAAATGGTGCTTCTTTCTCTGGTGTTTGAAAAAGTATAAAAAGACAAATAATGGAAATAATCAGTGTTATTCCATATTCTATGTATACATTTATAATAGTAACTCAGGATCTGCTTTACTTAAAATATTATTTTGTATTTATATCTACCTATATACCATGAATCTAATCTCTCTGCACTAGTTCTTGAGAGGAATTTATTTTGCAGAATTGCAATAAGGAATCAAATTAAATATAGCAGATTGCCAATAGCAAACAGTCATGGTAATTGTGCATTTAAATTTATTGTTGCATCTCTTATCAGAATTCAAACTGAAGGGAAAAGACTGGTAAAGGGAGCTGATGAGAGACACCTGGTAACAAACCAGAGATTAAGCCCACATATGCTGGAGTCATCATCCTCAAAGTGGAATCTGAAAGCCCTGTTTTCTAGTCCCTTGTGTGGTAATATCATCTACTAGTAGGATCCTGACATGAACCAAAAATAGCAGCCTTCACTGCTGTTGCATCAAAAGAAGGGCTGTTCTTCCCATTGATTCCAGCAATTTTTTTTTTTAAGGAGTTGGGGAACAGTGAGCAGAGGGAAGAGATGGTCTGCAGGATCATTTTCTGGCTGAAACAATCCTGAGAATTTAAAATGATATAAACAACCAGATCTCTGAACTATTTGAATAGCCAAAGTCCTATTTTAAGAAGTTCTCTTTGGGGGGAAATTTCTATCAACTTCCAAAACACTATTAAAAAATTCTAATAAACACGGTTGTTTATATACTGCATTAAAAGCAAGACCTTTCTTTAGATCTAAATCTGAATGCTTGATATAGAAGCAATTAAGAGTTCTTTGATATTTTTTCTTTTCATAGGTGGAAAATTTATTCAGGGAACACATAAATCAAGCTATATTGGTATTGTGGGTTTTATGTTCATCAGACATTCACGATGCACTCAAGAGTACAGGGCTAGCTATTTCTGCTCATCTGGGGTAATGCCACAAGGATTTTGAAAAGAAAAAAATCGCTGTGCCTATATTGTGTAAACAGGCATTTAGAAGACTTTCTTGGCAGATGTATTCAAATGCAAGTATAACATACTTCATATACAATCTGCCTCAATAACTAGGTGCATATTCAACTTCTGAATATGGCATCACATTTTACACACTAGGGAAACTGATGCAAACAATCACATTCTTATCTATTTGTTTTTAAATTCAAACTTTAGCTCACTGGGTGTTTTTTACACAGAGCATTATACTTTCATGCTTCATATTAAAAATAAATTGTTATAATAAAACTAAGCAGGCTCGTGTGCTTCAAAAAAGTAATTATTTAGACTAGCTTGAGCTCCCTTTTGTTTTCATTCTTGCAGACCACACACTTGCTGGGATGAAATATGGAGAAGAGGCAACTCTATTGCACTCTTTCTAATAAAAACAGACATATTGAAGTGAGATGGGCCTCATCCCTGGTGCCTGCATCCCCCATCATGCTGGACTGGGGGCCTGGTCTGTGCCAGACACATCAAACACCTCATGAACCAGGAGAATCTTTTCTCATTCTTCTCTATCCCAACATGGAGGCACCTGGCCCAGCTGTGTATCAGTGAGGCCTCTCCACAAAGCATGGTGGCCAGATAGCTTTCTGTAATTGCAAAAGCAACAGGGCTCAAAGCAGCCAGGCATTCAGCTCCAATGGATAGGATCATAAAGAAGTGGAAAAGGCACAGGATTTGTAGTATACACTGGCAGGATTCAGACCGCAACTCTAGCATTTGCTGGCTCTGGGTCTGGAAAGTTATTTTATCCCTCCAAGTCTCATCTGAAAATGCTTTTAATAAGAACAGCTATCTCATAGGTTACTATGAGGATTAAATGAGATACATAACCTATAAGGCAATTATATAAAGCTGATTTACAAGGTATTCCAGTAATGTCAGTAGGTATTACTATTATTGTTGTTGTTATTACTACTTATTATCATCTATACCCTTCTCTGGGAGAAGACAGGCAGTTTACTCAGCAAGTTCAAGGCTTCAGATTTTCAAATCACATATGCATCATCTTTTTGTTATAATCCCTGATCCAGTCGGGAAATGCGCCCTGTGAATTGATTTCTTAGCCTCCATCCCCACTGCCAACTCTCTGAGCAGGTTCCATGACTACACGCCTGGACCGCAGCAGCATCTTCCCTGTCCCTAGTCTCTTCCTCCTCTGTCCCTGTCCTACAGATGAGAGTAACATCTAAGGTTACATAGCTTGTCAGTGATGAAACTGGGATCTGAACTCTGAATCCCAGCCACTTACAAAACATAACATGGCAAAGGAAAAGTGTTTCTCAAATTGATATTTAAAACCCTCAAAAATCAGATTGGAACCCCAATCCTTTGTCTTTTTTCCTGTTGCTTTCTCAGAGTATCCTCAACCTCAGACCGATGGAATCATGGTATTCTCCAGGCAGGACCTGCTGTCATTTCTTCATACCTCTGTTCAGGCCAATTGCTCCTCCTGGCCTGCCATCTCCTCTGTCTGTCCCACTGAGCACCCCAATCAGAACCAAGCTCTTGGGGTAATGCTCATAGTTTGCAATATTCTCATGATATGGACCCCATTTTTCTTGGTCTTCTATTGATGCTAGGAAAGAATTCATATTTTCCCCAACTCAATAAACATCCACTGATGAGCAGGACTAAGTCCCCATTGCAATTGGAGATCAAAGAGAGCTAAATCTTAAATAGGTGTTGACTTCAAAAATAGGCTTTGGGGCTAAGGTAAAAGGCAACTCCCATTTGCTGACTAAACAAAGATATTCAAATTAAAATCTCCACAGAGATTTTAATCCTCACAGCAATGGTAATAGATTACAGGGTCATCTATGTAGAATCAAGAAATTTTAGAATCAAAGGGATCTTAAGAATTTATTTTATGTAAACACTACATTTTATAGTTTAGGAAACTGAGGCAGGGAGAAGAGAAGTGACTTGCAAAATCAAAACATGGTTGATGGCAAAGCCAAGCCTGGAACCCAAGATTCCTGAGTCTCATGTACCCAGGGACCTTTCATTCACCCATTTATTTACCCAATCCTCTACCATTACAGGGAGAAATTAAGAAGGGAATGGAGAAAGAAACAAACTTACAGCTTCTTCCAGGTGCTGCTGATCTGGATTATCATTTGGTGTGTGCCTCAGGATTTCTCGAAGAAGCAGAGGATATTTTACCAGGCGGCTTCTTGGAATATCAAGGAAATTCCAGAGATCTAGTTTGCGGCTAAAGGGGGATTCTAAACAGCGCTGAAGGAAATCCTGGACTCGGTGATCTTGTTTTTTGTGGTCCAGCAGAGCTTTGGCAGCTACTTGATTGCTGCAGTAGCTGTCGTAGGAGCTGAGACAAGGCAACTAAGAAAAGAACATCAGAAGAGGATTGGAGTGTTAAAATAATTGAAGGTACAGGCTAATATTACTTGTTGAGACTGAACAAAACCTAACTGGTCTCCAGCCCTGGCCAAATTCCTTTATCTGCATAGCTGGAGGAGACAGACCAGTACAATCTTCAAAATGCCAGGCAATGGACAGTTGCTTCAGGCTCTGGCTTCCTTGCACAAAGTAATTGCCTCAGTTGCATGTTTACTTCCTTGACTGTTAAGACCCCTATCCTAATTTGTTTGCATTTCTGCCAATCTAAGAAAGAAAAGAACTAAAATTTTTGCATATGCATAGAGTTCATAATTTTCCTAAACTATCAAAAGTATCTGGTGAGGGGAAAGTCTATTTTTTATTTAAAAAAAAAGAAAGAATTTATTTTAAAATGATTCGTAAGAAACTCATCCAGAAGACTCTGGCATAAAAGAAGCAAGGAGTCTGACTCTGCAGGTCAGCCCTTGGCATGGCATAGTGCAAGCTCCTCTACATTAGTTTAAGGTTAACTGATTCCAAGGTGGACCAATCTAAAAGAACTTCAAGGAGTTAAAGTATAATTCGTAAAAAATTAGATGCAAAAAGCACTTAGAAAAATCTTTTAAGTTAGTTCTGACAAGCCAGAAATGATTCTTGGCTCTACCCAATGGTTAATATCATAGTACCATGCAAAGAACAACTAAGCTTAAGACTTTGGAGGATTACAGCTCCACTATTTCCCTTCCAGCAAAATACTAATTTCTCTGACATGTCCCATCAGTCAAATTGTGCAAACATGGAGTCAGAGACTAAATGAAAGTTCTGTTCATCTTCCTTTTCCACTCCTTCCTTCTAGTGGCACCCAACGCCATGCATCCCAATGCATGGGCTGTCAGCTTCCAAAAAGTTACAGGAGGTAATAAAATGCAGCCAATGGCTCTGCTGTATGCTTCTCTCTTTTGGACCACAAAGCCACAATCACCATGACACCTGGTCTGTAGAGGGATTCAGTGCAAGACAGTGATGAGAGGGTCTTTCATTTCTGTATCCCCAGTACTTACACTGGGCGTACTATACAGCAAAATATGTATTCTGAATGAACACATAATGAATGTTTAATGGATTACCCGATTAGGTAATATTTGATGGCTTAGGAACACAGCTTAAAAATAAATTGTGGCAGCATCTGAACAATGTGTCAAAGTTTAAATACTCTGCTGCTTCCTTTACACCTCTTATTGAAATTATTCTCAGTGACTGAAACCAAAAAAAAAATACTAAGAAATTAATGTTTAAAAAATTTATTGTAGAGTTTGACATTCCTTGAAATAGCTACCTTCTTTACATGTTATGAAAAACTTCTATTTGTGTTAAAAAGAGCTGCAGAAATTCTTTCCTCAACCTTGTATTTGAAAGTAATAATTGGTACTTACTTATACACACACACACACCCCAGACGTGGTATTGTGGCTTATAATTTAGGTTTTCAGAGTTAATGAAAATGAGCCTCAGTCCCTCTTAATTTCATTTCCACTTCCTTGCCTTTTAAAGAGACCTGGAAATGTCCAATGTTTTCATTATGGGGAAACGAATCAGCAGTAACCATTGGACATAAATTAGGGAGGAACTCCAACAACACTAATGCTTGCTGTCCAATGGGCCATTACTTTCTGTGATCCTGCCGCCTCTGCTGCCATGTCAACCAAATCCAGCTCTGGTCCTCTGTTCACACCCTACGGGGTGCTCATTTCCTGGACATGACCTGAAAGGCTACCTGGTTCAGGCCACTGGCCAGAAAAGGCCACAAGCAATCTATATAACTAGACAGGGAAAGAAGAATGTACACACTTTGGTTCTCAAATACATACCCGCGCACTTATATAGAATGTGAGAGGCAATAACACAGTGGTTAAAAAGACAGACTCTGAACCAAGGAGAATCATGTTCAAAGGCTAAGACAGTTATTATTCTCCACTTACAAAATGCATGTACTAATATCCTCCTCTCTTTTAATGAGATAAGGCAGATAAAAAGTGTAACCTGAGCTCAGCTCCTGGTTAAGAATCAGTAAGTACTAGCTATTATTTATTATTGTTTATCCTTAGAATATTTTTATTGAAGAAATTGTGGTTGAGAGAAGCAGAACCACTTGCTCGGCTGGAGAAAAAACCAGTCTGAAGTGTGTTCTCTCCCCCGCTCTCCTCTCAAAGCTCTGAACTACTCACCAACTCTTTAGGCTATCAAGAAAGAATTTATAAGGGAAATTCTTTCACTTTCAAAAAAAATTCTATCTCCCTAACATTGTGAAAAACGTCAGAACAAATTGATATTTTTGCTTCCATGTACCCTGCCTCTCTCTTTGGAATTTAAAATTTAATTAGAACCCAAATTAACATGAGAACTTGCTGCCTTGGAGAGCTTATAAATTATTTTATTACTGAAAAAACGTTAGCATGAAGATAAGTCACTTGAGAAGTTGTTTCTTTATGCAGAGAAAGCTTATGAGAGCAGGATGACCCATCAGGGAGACTGATCCTCATAACCAGGGTGGTTCCCTGAAAAAAAAAAAAATAAAACTACCACTCTATTTAAGGTCTTCAAAGTAAAAGTAATTGATTCATTCTAAGGTCAAAAGAACTGGCCAGGGCTATCCCACTCGGGAGGCTCACTTGTTTAAAAGGGTTTTTTTTTCCCCCCGACTTTATTCTTTGGGAGGAAATAAATCAATTTTTCATGGGTCAAACGGGCTCTGACTTTTCTCATTCAAAGTCCAGTAAGATGTTTATTTTGCTCTGTTAAAAAGACCAGAACTCAAACAGATGTACCCTTTGGTTTACAGTTCCCACTCGCACGGACACATCTGCAGTTAAAAGAGGGAAAACATTTAACAGCTCGTCAGGCCTGATAAATAAGAACTGTTTCTCATGAGGCCTGGTAACAATGGGCCAGTTGTTTAATTTTAGGCTGCTCTTCAAGCTGCGAGTCCCCATTGATGTCTGAAGGATCTAGATAGCAATGGGTTGGCATGGTCTCACTTCCTTTGGGTATGTACAGAAAAGGAATGCAAAAGCTATCCCCAGATCAAACCAATTTTCTAACAAAAGTGACAAACATTTCTTTCAGAAAAAAAGTTAATAACAAGGCAAATGTCTACACTTTTGCTTCTGGCACAAACTAACAGTCTGTATATGATATCTAAGGAAATCACATAGTTCCATATTGCCATCTCATCAGAAACAGAGTAGCCATCATGCTAATTCTGGAGTGTGGCCTCATTGGCCCCTTTGCTACCATCAAAGCAGTCTGCAGACTCAGAAAGTTTAACACATACTGAGGCACACCCTCTCTTCTCATTAAACCTTCTCTGTCTCTGGCTGGTTGGCTTTCTTTAGAGAAATTGCCTTGTGGGCTAAAGAAGTTACAACATCTATCATGGCTCATAATAAAATGAAAGTCAAAAATATAAGATGAATAATCTCTCCTGAAATATTAAGGCACATTTTCTAAATTATTCATCTTAGAACATTACTTGTCTTTCTGATACCCTTGGGATATTTCAGCCTCAGTGCTAAAATTGACTCTAGAACTAAAACTAGCTAAGTCATGAAACCCTCAAAGTTTCTTGATCAAGGCAATAATTGAGAAGCATAAGTTAATATGAGATCATCATCAAAACTTAGGAACTGGAAGGTTTTAGGAAGGTTAAAACACAAATATAATTTGATAAAGGGAACTCACATAGTGAGAGTAGAATTTATAACCTTCACAACACTCTTCAAATGGTAGAATGACTCTAATACTTGCTGTTGTGGCACTATCTGCCTATTTTTTCTGGATTGTTACGTGGCTCAGAGTGAGGAGAGAGCTATTCCTGCCTGGATGAAGTCATCAAAGTAATCTGCTTTCATTACCTGCTTCATAATAAATGAAAAACACCTGGAGCTGGGGTGGAGCACTCAAGCACTCAAAGAAGGAAACAGAGAATGCAGGGACGTTGCAAAACAGAGTACATGCTTTGTGTAAAATCAAACAAATAAATAACTGTTTCATGCACCAATAAAACACAAATTCAGTCCAAGACCATAAATTTAGAACCACTAAAGTCACAGCTGATGTCTTTAATTAGGAAAGAAATGGGGGTTATATTGTTCTGAAGGTCAGTATAACATTCAGCTTTCCTATGAAGTTACCTAGTAATGTAAAGAGGAGGCAAGAGGATTAAAATGTTAATCAAGCCACATTCAGAGACTGCAATATGCTGATCGGCCCAGCAGCCAAGCCCGGAGGACACCTTCAGGACAAAGGAAGATTTCTGCTGGGATTACTAACAACAACCCAATCCTCCACACGGGTGGAAGTGAAACAGGATCAACAGTCTTTAAGTAGCTGCGCTACACAAATAAAATCATTCATTCCTCATGGCTAAAACCATGGGACCTATGAATTAAAGTCTGGGAACTGCCAGCAGGCCTTTCAGACTACATACTCTTCCCCTTCCCTTTCCTCACTGTATGTCCATATCCAAGGAAATGGGAACTAAAGAATGATGTATAAACTGAATTTCCTGAACACTCAGGGTACCTCTCACGCTTTTTCTGAACTCTGTCTCTCTCATCGTCCTTGACTCTCTTAGTCCCTCTCACTTTGCCTTTGAGAGGAGACCACACTCTGTGGAGTGTTACCCCTTTTCAAATAAATTTTCCTTTTGACTCTAATTTTGGCGTGTATGTTGAATTCTTTCTCCACTCTGCTAAAGGACCCTCTTCTTCTCTTGGTGCAGGGCTTGGCCTCTCCATCACTTGATGTGGGGAAATTTGCCCTGTCCTGCACCAATAGGATCAGATATATGATAAACATTAACGACATTTAGTTATTACCTTATTTATGAAACTACGTTTGACCATGCAAATTAGTTGATAGCCTGAATAAAAGCTTTATTATAGTGATTGACAGAAATATGTCCTTAAATTTTTACTGGAATAGGCATGTTAATAATTATATTAATAACTGGCCTGAATTGAACATTAACTAATTTTACTGCAAAAAAGCATGTTATTTTTAAATGCAGTAAATTTGTAATAAGAAAAAAATTGTTTCTATGTTTTGAAGAGATAAAGCCTAGCTATAATGATAAATTTGACTACGAATTTGCTATTTTAAATTTTTCTGATGTAAAATCAATGTTTGCCAACAACAACAAAAAAGTCTAGCTAAAATGAGACTCCATTTAAATTATTGAAATTTATCTTCGATCAAGACCAGAAAATTTTTCTTACCCAGCCCACGAGGATGGGACCAACATGTTCAGTTGAGCCATCAGGCTTACGAACATCTCGAAGCTGACTAAGGAGCTCTGTCAAAAAAACACAACCAGAACGCTTATTTTGTTAGGCATTCAAATGCAAACAGGGCTGGAAGCAGATTCTGGGTTACTCACATTATTATATAATCATGATTTGTACAAGACAACTCAGTTAAGGGTACAAGTCATGACTCATTCTGGGAACAAAATTATACCTTCATGTAGAGGAATTAGAGAGTCCAGTGTTCCGAAAATTTGATTCAACTCTTGTTCTGTCATTATGGAGAGTTTCAGCATGGGGTCATGATAGGCCTGCACAAGAACAGCAAGAGATGGAAGCAAACGTTTAAAATCAGCGGAAGTAAGTTGTTAATGTAAATGGCTTCTGAGAGGCCCTACACAATAACAAAATATTTGGCTCTCCCCAACAACCTCTCCCAGAATACTGCAGAAACAGCAGATGGGTTTGGCTGAAGCAGATGGGAATCTAGCATTGCCTTGAGCCTTTTGTGGTTGTTAATAAACCAAAGCAGATATTTTAAAAAGCATTTTTGTTCTAGTACATCATACATCTAAGAAAGAGCACAAATCCTAAATATAGAGCATATTTGATTTATATGTTTCAAAAAAAATTAACTTTATTATCACCTCTAATTAATGATAGTTAAACAAGAACACACAATTATACCCAGGGCACTGTAATAGAATAGATGGCACAGTCCTTGCCTTCAAGGAGATTTATAAAGCTAACTGAGAAGAAAATAAAAACACACGGAAAATTAAATACATATTTAAAAATAGTTTAAGAATAAAAAAAGGAGTCATGTCACATGACAGCAAAAATTTATCAAATCATAACTGTTCTAGAGAGTCAGAGAATTACAGCTTGAGTGGTCAAGGGAGATTTTAAAGATGAGCTGCTTGGCATAGAAAAGGAGGCAGCAAATATTGTTAAAGAATGAATTGAGATTTGCACTCATTCCTAGAGGATGGCTAGATATAGATGGTTGAAGGGAAAGGGAAGGGTTTCCAGGAAAGAAGGATCATCATAAGGAAAAGGATGGCAGTGAAACATCTTAAGACATTTGGGTTTGGGAAAATTTGATGCAGGAAAGAGGAGATGCACCTATGACCAGCAAGATGTCTCCCAGAGTTAAATGCCTTCTTTGTCTTCCTTGTCTTCCTCTTCCTCTCACCCTGCCTAAAACTCAATTGGTTGGCCATCTCTCAAGAATGTTACAGATGGGACTTCATATTAGCAGAAAGTTGGACTAAGGACACCTAAATGAAGAGACACCTCTTTCCAACCCTGTGATTCTTTGAGGAGGCTGTGAATATCAGATGAAGGACCCTGGATTTTAGCCTCCATTGGAGTCACTGGAATGGAAAGGTTTTTGAGGAAGATTTGTTGCCAAGACTATACAGGTTACATAAGGCATGGGTTTCCTCTCCCTTCCAGTACATAATGTGATTAAAACACAAGTTTCTAGATAAAAGACCCTAATTTACATTGATAGTGTGCAATTTCCTCACTTAACCACTTTATCTACTTTTGAGATTCAAATGACTTTTACTAAGACACAGTTCCAGTTTCAAACCATTCACACATTCTTTCCCATAGATAAGGAGGCCCTGAATATGAAACTTCTAGGACAACTAAACATTCTCTCATTAAACTGAAGTATTCTCTGAGGTGCATTAGAGACATGCAGAGGAGAACTCCTAAAGGTACTGGGTCCAGAGAGCTTTCTCATTTTGAGCCATTTTCCCCACTGCTTGGTTTTTGCAGGTCCTTCAATTTTTGATGACCTGTCTTAACAATAAAAAGTGCTCATAAAGCACAATTTTAGAAATGTGAAATTACTCAGAGGAAAACAATATGTGGTGACTCAAATGACCGCTGGATTTAAATTTACCTTTTTTGCCAATTTCAAGTCCTCTATCAAGTCTTCTTCTCCTTGAGAAAGCTCAAAGATTGCCTGCAAGAAAAGATAAAACACATCCACTAAACTCTTTCTTCATTTATAAGACCAAATTCAAACAGTGCTGTTTACAGAACTCAAAACTCCAAATCTATTTACTTCTTAAGTATTTAAATTATTCTTAGAAAGTTAAATTAACCTGCATCAAGTGGCTAAAAAACCTACAAAGGTGAGATGTTGCAAACTTCTGTATAATGTGCTTATCTGTTAGTGGGATAAAGAGGTTCCATATCTTTCCAATCCAACAAATCATCTTTCATGTTATAGAACTTTGATGCAGCCAAACAAGAGGGAACTATTTTAGGTAAAATAATTATAGTTTGACTATGGATTCGAGTCTGTTATGAGTGGCAAGCATAATAAAAGATTCACGGTCTGTTCTCAGTGATGGACATGGCAGTATTATTAATTGGGCCATCACAATTTGTCTTCTTTCTACTCAACAGAAGATGAATCTCAACAGAAAGCTTTATTCCTATCAGCTACTTGTCCTGAGGCTAGAATTGTAGGAAGAATCCATTATTTTATCACTCTAAATGTCTAGTGAGGTTAATTCACTCTAAATTACTTTTCAGCCCTACATGGTACAATAAATGAAATTATAGGAGCTGGCTATGTACAAGAGTGTGTAAAGGGGCCATTTCTAATTTGGCTCTATTAAGCCATCATCATTTAAGAACTATGATGTGCAGAACACTCCTTCATTCTCCTCTGTGAGTCTAAACTGTTGGCAAACATTACATTATTAAAGGATTATGTGTTTGTGGCGATAGTTCGGGAACCACTACATTTCTTCCAGATTAGAGGAAAGAAGCGAGCAGGCTTGGAGAACATCTTTCACTTGGGGGGCTGGTGGACTGGGTGGACTGCAGGACAACGACCTTCTCTCCCGCAAAGCCTGTGGAGGCAGAATACTCGCTGGAGGCCAGTGCATGGTGACACTTCCCGAAGTCCAGTAAAACCTCCATGCCATGTCTTCCTGGTAATCTATTTAGTTAAACCTTTTATTTTGAAATACAGATTCACATGAGAAGTTGCAAATATAGTAGAGAGAGGTCCTGAGCACAGATTACTCAGCTTCCCCCAATGGTGGCATTTTACATAACTATAGAGCATTATCAAAACCAGGAAATGGATTGGTACAATACAATTAACTAGCCTTTAACTGGCCCTTCCTCAGATTTCCCATTACATCTATTTTACTAGAGCTCCCTACATAAGTCTGACTGTCTGACTGACCAAATGTGGCCCCCCAGAGAGGAAAATCACAGAACCCCACACTGGGATACTACAGTTGGTATCTGTGGTGAAGCAACACAATGCCACTGTAAAGACCACTGGCTTTGGAGTAGGCAAGACCTTGGTACAAATCCCAGCTCTGTAACTTTCTAGGTGCGTGACATTATGTTAACTGTGCCTTAATAATCTCATCTGCAGAATCGATCCTTCCCTCCTTCCTTCCTGCTATCAGATTGTACAAGTTATATATGCACACTATTAACACTTGAGAAAAACACAGAAAAGTATAAAGATAAAAAATTTTAATTACTCATAATACTGTCTTGTTAATCATTGTTAAGCTTTTGCCATATTTCTTCACAGGATTTTTTTCAGTGCACATGTTATTTTGAAATGCTTTATTTATTCATTTTTAAATAGATAATACATTGACATGGTTCAAAATTTATAGTGTAAGAATGGGTACATGGTGAAAACTTTCCCTCTCACCTCCTTCTTCCAACTACCCAGTTTCCCTCCCAGGAGGCAACAATGTTACCAGTTCCTCGTGTATCCTTTCAGAAATATTTTATAATTCTACCAGCAAATACATACATATACACATATTAATTTTTTTCTTCCTCTTTTACTTAAATGGTAGCATACTGTATACCCTATCTTGTGCCTTGCTTTATCCACTTAGCCATATATACATATCAGCACTTTTTGTGTTTCTACAGCTATACAGTATTCCATGTATAAACATTCATTATTTAACTAGTCCCTGGTAATAGATGTTCAGGCTCTTTCTAGCACTATTATAAACACCACTGTGATGAATAACCTTATACATGCACATCTTTTCATCTGTGTATAAGTGAGCCTGGCAGAAAGATTCCTAGAAAAGAATTGCTGAGTCAAAACCTAGAAAGTACTTCTACTTCCAATGTCAAGTTCTCCACAAAAATAGATATTCCAAAGATTTCACTAGATGACGCTCATCTGAAGTACTTAGCACAGCTTGGCACATGACAAGCTCTCTATTAAGGGTAATATTACAGCAGCCATTTAGGGCTATTGATACAGAAAACTTACAGGTAATGAAATTAACTGCATTTCCTAGAAAACTTTTCCACAAAACTGAATCTAAGTTTTATAAACTGAATATTCTAAAATAGTCTATAAGTTGCTAACAAAATGTAACTAGAGTGATTATTTTTGTGAACAGCAAAAATTCTTCTTGGTAGATTCAGGCTTTCATAGCAGTTTCTTTTTAAAGAAGCAGCCACGCCCACCCAGCTGGATGCTGGTTTCTCAGTTCCTTAAAAGATCTGACACTCCAGGTTTGTCCTACAAATGCAACGGAGAATTGATTTGGAGACTGCAGTGTAGACCTCAGCTAGGCTCTCCACCTGCAGTGTGCCTGGTTCCAGACAAACTGCCAATTCCAGGGGTCCCAACCCTACCTCCTGACGTTTGATTTCCTTGGATGTAAGCATCTGATTGACACACACATCGAAGGTCTCACTCCACAGCTTGCTGTCTCTCCGCTTGGTGCTCGAGGGGGCGGCATTTCTGGACCAGGGTCGAGGGTTGAGGATGTCAGGACGGCTTTCGCTTCGGAAGCTAATGGAGCGCTAAACAATGAGAAAAAACAAACTGTCACGGGGGCAGCAGCAGGACTGGGTGGATCGTTTGAGCAGCTTCCTGTCCCTGACAGAACATAAATCAGACATTTGCAAGAAAGAGAGGACAATGCCAGGAGGCCTTTTGGAAAACAGTGCATTGTCTTGAGCCTACGAGCTAAGGAAAATTGGACAAGGGGCCGCTTTTACACACGTACTGGGAGTATCCTTTCTGTGAGACTTGGGCATGGCATAAAAACGCTCACAAAGGCAGCTCTCAGACAAGCGATGGACTCTACTTTTTCTTCCAGTGGACATCTCCGTACTGTAGAAGAACAAGGGTTAACAGTAGTGGCTATCCTTTAAAAAAAACAAACAAGCAAACATCTAGCCAGTATTCTTACTCTCCTCCTCCTGCTAGGAACAGAATTCCATTATCTTTGCTATCCCATCTCATGTGGTTTGGGTGGGCTCCCCGAAACTTGACCAATTAGAGGACTCCTCCACCCTGGTTCAGGAAAGGGCACCTGATTTCCTGAAATCTGTTACATGATTCATGGGAGAAAGAGTGGAAGAGTCTTTCTTCCTTTGGGAGCTTAGAAGATAACACTGCAGGACTTTCTTGTAGCAAATCTCTCTGGTCACAAAAATGAGTCTGTCTGCTATAGGAGAGAATAAAGAGATGTGTGGGACGAAGGATGGAGAGAAAAACCGACAGAGGGAAGGAGGAAGAAAGCTTTACCAACATTGTTTTACCCCCTGGATCCCATTGTGCTTGAATCCAGGAAGAATCACTCTTAGACTAAGGGGCTTATACATTCCCCTTTTTACATTCATCTTAGTTGAGCTTCTGTCAACTTGAAAAGTACCAACTAATATATACTAAATACCATCTTGGTGGTAAATGAAGCCTGTTCCCGAGTTATTTTCTTATTTTCCAAAGAGGCCCCGGTAGACTTTGGGGTGGCCTAACCACCCAAACTCTACCCTTGTGGCTGAAACATGCTACCACAGTGCTTTTTTTTGACAAATACAAATGACCAAGAAGAAAACTGAGTGCATCATCTTTAGCCTTTGGTCTAGAAGATTTCAATACACTTACTGAAATCTGTAAACTGCCAAAGCAATGAAGTGTTGCTGTGCTAAAAACAAACAAACAAACAAAGAACAAAAAGCAAAACACCTGCCATAGCTGTTGCCACATGTCTGTGGCCTTCAGTGTGAAGTTCCAGTTCCTGTTTGGTAGGCTTCTTGTGATCTGACCATCGTCTATATATCTAGGCTCACCTCCTGCCACTTATCCATGATCCCCCTATTGTCTAGCCCTACTAGGCTATCTGCCATTCTCTAAATGCATCATGCTTTGCCAACCCACCGTGCTTCCTTCAAGCAGTCTTCTCTTCCTAGAATGCTTTTCTTTCATTTCCTAGCTGGTTAACTCCTAACTGTCCTCAGGATATAACTCAAACACATCCTCTAGGAAGGCTTTACCAATGTTTTCTACTCTCTCCCAGAGCAATTTGAACATATCTCTGATATATTAACAATCACATTTTATTATACTCCATGGTCACCTGCTCTGAACCATATACTTCCTTAGGACAGAAAGTGATTTTGCATGTGACATATGTGTCATCATCATTAAGACACTGTAAGGTAGCTTCCAAATATTTTGAGATTCAACAATTAAATTTAAGAAAGTAAAAAGACAATTTTAAGAGAACTATTCAAGCTAAGGGCATTGTTAAATAAGTTATAATTCATCTGCTTGATGGAATATTATCTAGTCATCTAGAGATAATTTTAACTGCTAAATTAAAATAAAATCAGGATTAAAATCTGTATGTAAATACTTGATAATTATGAAAAAAGTGTACATGAACAAAGATATAAAGGGAATGCCACAAAATTCAATTGTTTTTGTCTGATGACATGATAAGTAATGTTAGCCTGAGTATACAACTCTTATAATTCAAGAAAAATAAGTGAAAACTGTGAAAAGAAACTTCCGAGGGACTTTCAGGTACTACCACAAACTTCTGGGAGCAGGAAGCTAGCTGTTTGCAAGTACTAACAGAGCTTCTCAGGCTGGCACAGGCATGCATGCACTCCTGGGCTTATTAATGAGCTCACGATCATTGAACCAGTATGCTGGTCAAGAAAGTACTTGCTCCAAATACGTAGTTCACTAATGGTGTCTTGCAAATCCTTGTGATCTCTTGAAAATAGGCCCTTATAAACAGTGGCCAGACTAATGCTTGCAGATCCCCATCACTCAGAATAAATTAGCCACAGGCACGGAAAAGGTCAAAACAAGCAAAGTGAGTCATCAAATAACTCACTCATCTCAGTTAGTGGTTCTGATGCCAGCTGGGGTGGGAGTTAAAGAGCAGAAAGGAAAATACAAAAAAGTAGATTCAAACTGAAAGACATTTTCCACTTTCACTTGAGAAAATTGACCACCCACCTGTTACAGTTTTAGTCCCTGACCAACTTTGAACTCTCTGCTCCCCACCACCAGTTTCAAAGTAATTTATACCAATTTTAAATTTTCATACATTACAAAAGTATTTAAATTAAGTACAAATTCCCTCATTTTCCCAAGTCCACTTCCCAGAAGTAACTGCTATTAAGTTTTTTCTAGATCTTTCCAAACCTTTTCTGTGTATTTGCTAACATTGACAGAAAACAATCTTTTTTCACTCAGCAGTATGTCTTTCCATGTTAGTACATAAGATTTATGCTTTAAAAAAATAATTTATTGAAGTGAAATTCACACAACATAAAATTAACCATTTTTAAAGTGAACAATTTAGTGGCTTTTAGTATATTCACAACGCTGTGGATCCACCAACTTCATGTCATTCCAAAACATTCCCATCACCCAAAGTCATTCATTCTTTTTTATGGCTGCAGTTAGTATCCCATGGTCTGGATGGACCACATGGATCCAATGAATCTCTAACTGATGGACATTAAAATCGTTTCCAGTGTCTGGCTATTACAAAAAAATGCCTCAGTTAACATCCTTTATGTGTTTCTGCTGGTATTTCTGTAAGGCAGATTTCTTAAGTAGAATTCCTTGGTCTAAGAATTATCAACATTTTAACGTTGGATATGTACTGCCAAATTGACCTCCAAACAGTCTGTCCCCAGAAAAGTATGTGATAGTGCACTTTTTCCACACTCTCATCAATAGGATATTATTTTCAATCTGATAGGGAAAACAACTATACCTTAATTTCAGTTCCAAGTTTTGGATATGAGATTGAACAGCTCTATTGCTAAGAATTCCTTGTTCTGTGTTTTCTTAGTGATTGCTGGGCTCGGGTACTAAGGGGGAAGGAATGGGGGTGAAGATCACCAGGAATGTCACAGAGGGGCCATTATGTGCTTGCCCAACCTTAGCTTCCGTTGA